TATATTTTTTTTTTTTTTTTTTTTTTTTTTTTTTTTTTATTCTGTTTTATTTAATCAATTTTATTTATTTTTTATTTCATAATTATATCACTTCTATTAATTTTAAAAAAGTAAAAATATATTCAAAAAGCTTAATAAATACACCTTTTGCACTTCCACTTACGTATGTATATATAAATATATATAGATATATATATATATATATATATAATATACACATATTTTAATGTATTAAATAATATCGCATATTTTATTAATAATAAAAAAAAAAAGATTAATGCTTCTTACCAAAATTTGAATCGATATTTAAATTAAGGCAATATATACATATATATATTTTTCTTATTTTTATTAATATTAATGCTGCTTCAGTAACTAATGTCAGCAATAATATATATATATATATTAATATAAAAATTTTTCAAAATTTGTTTATATAAATTTTTTTTTAGCATTTTTTATGTATTTATTACATGTATATATTTTTAAATATATATAAAAACGTACGATTTTTAAATTTGATGAAAACATAAAAAATCAAACATAATCATTTATAAACGAAAGTTAAATATATTTGCATTTTTTTATTTTGAATTATAAGATATTTTCAAAAGAATAAAATAAAATTGAAATATATTAAATCTTCAGAATAAAATTTTATATATACTTTTTATATTTTTTGTTTAAGATTCCACATATTTCTGATAATTGAAAAGTAATAAATTAATAATAAATTTATAAATTTAAACTTTTTTTAAAAAACATAAGAATTCTTAATATTTTATTACTTTTATTGCATTTTTAATATATATGATATTTATATCTATACATATAAATATTTTTTATAGAAGATCATTGTAATTTTCAGTATTTTTAATTTTAAGATATTTTTTTTTCACATAAACATATATATTTAAATATATATAGTTTTTTTTTTTTTTTTTTTTCATTATTATTGGTTATTAAATATTTCAAAATAGTAAGAAATGGAAAAAGCAATAAAGGAAAGAGTTGAAAAATGGAAGAAAGAGAACACTGTTGACGGAAAGGAAGTAACAAATGAAAATGCATATGAAAATTTGACTGAATTAATTTTAGATGGTAAAAAGTTTAGTACTATAAAAAATGAAGATAAAGAATTATTGAAAAAATTTAAAAATTTAGAAAGGTTATGCCTAAACCAAACTGGAATACAAAGTTTAGAAAATTTACCAAAAATTGATACTTTAAATGTACTTGAGTTAACTGATAATCATTTAAGTACCATTGATATATTAAATTTTATAGTAGAAAATTTTCCCAATATTAAAACATTAGAGATAGGAGGAAATCATTTTAAAAATATAAAAGATTTTGAAGTTTTAAAAAATTTAAAAAATTTATGTCGATTAGGAGTTCAATTTAACCCATTCGCTGAAGATCCCAGTTATAGAAAAGAATTATTTGAATTTTTGCCAGATGTTAAAATAATAGATTGTTATAATAAAGATGGAGTAGAAGTTTTAAGTTCAGATGAGGAAGAAGAAGAAGAATACGAGGAAGATAATACTTTAAAAAATTTTTATGAAGCAGATTTTAAAGAAGAAGATGAAGAAGATGAGGAATTTATACCAAATGATCATGAAGAAGAGGAAGAAGACGATGAATTAGATGATGATTTGGAAGAAGAAGAAATTGATGATTTAGATAAAGAAGATATAGATAGAGAAGATTTAGATGTTGAAACAAAAGAAAGCGAAGATGTAGAAAAGGAAGAAAAAACTAATAAAAGAAAGAAGGATAGTTTAGACAATACAAATGAAATGGATACAAAAAAAACAAAAGTAGAATAATTATACTTAAATATGGTTATACACTTAAATATAGAGAGAAGAAAAAAAAAAAAAAAAAAAAAAAAGAACAACAAAATTTGTATTGATCTATTTACTTATTTTATTCATTTTTCTTCAACTAATTATTTCCTATCTTTTTTTTTTTTTAAAATATAGTGCATGAAATTTTAATATTTATTTTTGGTTTTTACGCTCATTCTCTCTTAATTTTATTTTATTTATTCTTTATATCAATTTTTTTTTTTATATCACTATTCATTTATGATTATGGTTTATTTTTTATAAGCTTTTAAAATATTACAAAAAAAAAAAGAAAATACACATATAAGCGTATTTTTTCTTTTTT